AGCGCCGAAACACCCGTGCGCCGGGCGTGATGCTGCGCGGTGCTGCGGGTGCTGCCCACGCGTGGCCACCGCGTCCCCCGCGGCACCCCCGGCCCCCACCCAGCGCCACCGTGCTGGGCTGAATGGGGTTGACTCATGCAAGAGCAGCGACCGGCTGGTAATTAAGCTGCCAATCAAGTGGCAGAGGTTGCTTTTTCATTAGCTTGCTGTAAATTATAAAGCAAATTCTCTGGGTATGTATTATAAATAAAATCACAGTGGGGCCTCGTGAACCAGAGTGACGTCACCGAGGAATTAGGGATGAAAGACATGGCTAGGCTAAAAATAATATAGGGTATGGTCATTTGTTTTTCTTTAAAATAAAGGCCTTATTATTAAAATGGAAATAATTGCAGATATAATTTACTTTTCACCAGTCCCACTGCTCTTGCTTTGTTTTTGAGATTTTTTTTTTCTTTTTTTTTTTTTTCATTTGGCTGAACTGCTGCTTTTAAATTGTGCCAGATGCCCTCCCTGCCTGCAGGGGCCCGAGCCCCGGCCTCCCGGCAAAATCCCAGTCCTGGCCCTTGGCGGAGGATGGGACTTGAGCTTCCCCAGTTCCTCGAGTGCTTTAGACGGTCCTGCCTCGAGATGTCCGCATCGCAGGGAGTCCGCTCCGCTTTCCTGACGGCGGCCGCTCTCCCGCCATCCTTACAGCAGAGGGAAATCACAGCCCAAGCCCTCCACTGCAGCCCAGTCCAAAAATAAAATTAGATGCAAATTAAAACTTGCAGAAACATTTGCTGATCTTAGATTTATTTTTTTTTTTAAGTTCTCAGCGTGTTTTTGAAATCGTTCTGACTACTGAAACGGATCCTGGCCCCAAAATCCTGCTGTCATCGTCCTTAGCAATTACAAGGATGTTTGAAATGGTTTTCTTTCTTTTTCCAGAGTTAACCCTTTGCGGGGAGCGTGAGGGCGGACGGGTTTGCCTGTGAGACGGGGTTGTGGCATCGCTGTGGGATGGGGAGACGGGATGTTGTGCTGGGAGTGTCCCGGGAGGGAGATGGGGAGAGGCAGCGCTGGGGCTGGCGGGGGCACACGGTGCGGGGCAGCTTTCGGCCACCCAGGGAAGCCAGTTGCTCCCATCCAGCTGATTTTTCTCTTTTTTTCCTATTTCTTTTTTCCCCCCTTCAGGTCAGACAAAACCCTGCAGGACATCGTGTACAAACTGGTCCCGGGGCTTTTCAAAGGTACAGCCACGGGCGGTTGTAATGGGGTGGGTTTGGGGTTGTTTGTAACTCGCTTCCACCCACCGGGGAAACTGGTTCCCCATATTTCGCGCTGCCCCCCCGTAATGGGGGCACCAGGAAAACGCGTGGTGTGAACGGACTGGGATGGGTCCGTCTGGATAGTGCCCATCCCGCGCTCCGGCAGCCGTGGGGGCTGCTGCTGGGGGGAACCACGAACGGCAAAACTGGGAGCAGGAGCCGCGGATTTGCTCTCCGAGTGCCTGCCCATCCTTGGAGGGGTAAAAAGTGTGGGGGTCTGCAGGTGTGGAAAGACTGAGGACCGCTGAGCCGCCATAAAGGCATTCTCACAGCAGCGGATTTGCAGCCGCTCCAAGGGTTTTACTGGTACAATTCGATTGCTCTTGCTAAAGCCACTCTCTCCCCTCCGGCGGGTCCGTCTGCCTGCACTGGGCAGCTCATGCTGGAGCTGCCGGGGGGGGGCAGGCACTCGGGAATCCCGGGC